GCTGTGAAAGATAACAGTGAAGAAGACGCGCTACTCAAGCGACAGGCCCTTTTCAAATTAACTTCCTAGACACCGCCAGAAGCGTACTTATAATACTGACTGTTCGACCGTTGCATCTGATGATGTGCATCGTGTGCTCCACAGCAAGGTGAAGCAGGTACGGTGACTTGAGCGTGAAGTAGTTTATAGAGGGAGTAGACTTGCGCAGCATTTACCGCATTCTACCCTCCCCCCCCCCCCAACTGGATCCGGTGTCGAGACAGAGTCAAGAAGACCGGAGACGGGGTTGGCGCGGATGAATGGCGCGGCCGGACCCGCGCCTTGGCGTTCCACTCCACATTCTCTGGTCCACAAAAACACATGACCAGGAGTTCGGCCAACAAAAACAGAAAGGACGTGGAGGACTGGGCGGCTATGCACACGACCTCTATACCCAACGACAGTTTAACCGCATCTACAGTCAGCGAACCAGGTACCGGAGAACTGTGAGCGCAAACCAGGCTGCGAGGGTGTCATGGTTAGCTAATCATGGCATCCCAGGCGTTCACAAACCCTGGAGCTTAGAAGAGTGACACAGCCCTGCATTTACCCGGACCATCACCCTTCAAAGGTTGGGTAACCATTCAGTCAGCAAATGAAAGGCACTACCCAACTTCTTACACTACTGCTATGGAAAATTACGTGTTCTTGAAATTAGCCACTTATAGGGGGGTATTATTTCGATTTTTGAAGAGTTTGGGAGCATTCGTACAGTCTACTCCCATAAACGTTTCCAATTATGATATTTTTTAAGGCCGTGCAATGTGCATTCATACAGCATCGCACCTGTCCGCTTGTCATTGCTCCTCATGAAATATACAACATAGTTCGTATCCATTGCAGGATTTTCTGAACTCTATATGGAATCTTTTAAAGGAATACAAGAATATGTGATTTTCCTTACGCAGAAACGTGCACCTTATAGACTGAAATCGCTAAACGCTAATGCGACGGCTGATCAGGCTCAAGACTATTCGGAAATTGGGAAAATTTTCTAAAACCTAAATATACCCTTTCTTCGGGCTCAAAATGTAAAGACAATGTGATGCTTATCAAACTAGTAAAATAAGGCAGATTCTGGTGAATGTTTTCTAAAAAATATATTTGAATTTATAAGGCCATCGGAAATCAATGTGAAGAATGTTTGCCACTTAGGAAGTCATTTTTTACCGAGTACAGTTCGGAAAGAAGTGCGTTCACAAAGCCGACATTCTGGCGAGTCCGAAATACTATAGTATTATGCCGCATGATAATCAATATTACGACCCCGCCTAAGAAATCCTTCCTAATCGAAAACGAATTTCAGAATTTCGGCCAACACTCTATGAGATCGGTCACGCACTATATGCATAGGTTGTACGATATACCATACTTGAGAACACAGGGCTTCTAGCTATTATCTGTGCTGACAAGTATGGTATATTGTGCAACTTATGCACATACTACTGACTACCTATTGGCAGTTTATGAATATTACGCGCTCATTCCTCCATAGTTGGTGGACTTTCGCCCAAGTATTCATATCAGATTTTAGCCCGAGCCCACAAGCATTTAACAGGCTGCTTTAGCCCACGTAAGTGATTAATGTCTGGGGAAATTAAAAACATGCAAGAGGGAGCTGTTCCAAGAGATACACAGCAAACATCTTCGAAACTTTAAAAACAAGTGAGTGACCACTCTCATGACATGTTGAGTAAAATTCTGAAATGCGTTTTTGCTTAGGAAGGATTACTTAGGCGCCGTTGTAACATTGAGTATCCTCCGGCATAGTCCTATAATATTTTGGACTCGGCAAAAATGTCGGCTCTTGAATGTATTTCTTTTCAATCTCCTGTGGAAACCGTACTCGGTAAGAAAAATGACTACTTAGGTAGCATGCATTTTTCGCACTGATTTTCGATGATCTAATAGATTCAAGTATATTTTATAGAATATATGCATAAAATATCATTTTTTCGCTCATTTGATAGAGAATCACGTTATCTTTATATTTTATACTTGAAGAACGAGTATAATTCGATTTTAAGAAAGTTTGCTAATTTCCGATTAATTTGGAGCCTGATCAGCCGTTGCAGTAGCGCCTAGTGATTTTAGTCTACAAGCTGCATGCCTCCCGCGTAAGGAAAATCGTATATTCTTCTATTCCTTTAAAAAGATACCATACTGAGTCCACAAAATTTTGCAATGGATGCGGACTGTGTTGTACATTTCATGAGAATCAGTGGCAAACGGAAAAGTACGATACTGTATAGATGGACATTGCGCGGTCTCAAAAATCTCATAATAAGAAACTTTTTAAAACCTAATTATACTCCTTCTTCAGGTATAAAATATAAAGATAACGTGACTGTCTATCAAATGAGTGAAAAAATAATAGTTTTATACATATCTTCTATAAACTATATTTGAATCTATGAGATCATCGAAAATCAGTGCGAAAAATGCATGCTATTTAAGCAGCTATTTTTTACCGAGTACGGTTTCAACAGGAGATTGAAAAGAAATGTATTCAAGATTCCACATTTTGCCGAGTCCAAAATATTATAGGATAATGCCGGATGATAATCAGTATTACAACGGCGCCTAAGTAATCCTTCCTAATCAAAAACGCATTTCAGAATTTTGGCCAACATTTCATGTGATCGGTCACTCACTGTAGGTTGCGCTTCAGAATATGCAAATAGAAGTATATTTTTTAAGTCCTGGACAGGTGTAGCGAAGGTATAATTGAGCATGCCTTCAAAGAAGTGTAACTGAATTTATGCGGATATCTCGAAGAAATGATACGGCAACAGACCGGATAAGAAGCGAATGTTTACCACTGGCAATTGACAGACGCGAGGAGACATCTTGCACAAACGTTCATTAATCGCGAGCGCGCGATCGCTAATCATGCGACCAGCCTCGTGCACACGCTTTCCAGACTGTCGCTCTCACGAACACATGCGGAACTGACACACGGACACCTCACCACCATCCAGCCCCACGCGGACGTACTCCCCTCGTTCGCCGGTTCAAGTGCGCCCCTCAAACTGCACTTAGGCTGGCCAGAATGCATAACCCTACAGCCCCTACCTTCTGCCTTGATGACATAGCCGGACATTCAACAACAACTTGCAACAGCAGATGTTGCTGTTGCTGTTTTCCCGGTCGGCGAGAGCGGGAACACGAAACAGGCGAATTGTCCGAAAAATTACTATCTGACGCAGAAAGGTTGTCCCTCATCCAGACTTTAAGGACACCCTCGTACAAGAGACGGATACCCAGTCAGAAAAAACAACATTTATAGGGAATTATCGGGAAAAAAGGCGTCCATCGATGAGGTTAAGGGATATTAGTGTTCCCCTGTGCCTTGGGTCTCAATCTGAAGCCTTAGCGGGCACACATACGGCGACCAGTAGTGATAAAGGAAGGCCGCTTCTGGCATTGTAGTCGTCATCAGTCAGGCATATCCAAACTCAGGTCTGGATAACCTGGCGTCCGGACACGGATTCTCCCGTAATTGTGCTTTCATGAGTCCAACGCTTTATCTGTCATTTGCGGTCAGGAATATCGACTGTTGTGGGAGGGCGTTCACCGACCATACTACAGGTAACGTTCGTATCGTCGTTCCTTTGAGGCTCAATCTGGAGTGGCTCAAAAGCACTCGCATAGCGACCAGTAATAATGCAGGAGGGGGGGGGTGAAAAAGACAAGGGAGCCTAGAAGGGCGGTTTCTGGCCAATCGGCCGTCGACAGCCGGCCGTGGCTCAAAGCCCATTAACCAAAGAATCCCTGTTCCAATCCCAGGCCATCCAGATCTGAGGTTGAGTATGTGTGACTGTCGACAGCCACAGTACGTGACCTATCTCATGAAACCTGAGGACAAAAACCGATATGAGGATTTTCAGACACTTTGGTCATTGCGCATTTTGCTTACTCGCCCAGCTGCTTCAAGTGGACGCTCTTTTCTCGGGCAGAAAATGTGTCTGAACAATCTTATCAAGCAAAAGGCTCATAAATTTGCGCAAAAATGGAGGTTACGATAAATACGGGCAATTTCCTATGTTAATACGTGTCTTAGAGACTTCGGTCGCGCATCTGAGCGTATTTTTCTTTGAGAGGAGGCTAATCTACCCTCAAGAGTTTCACTAAACAGGGTTTGTCACACTTGAAAATTAATTTTTTTTTGTCTCTTGAAGTTGTTCTTTATGAATATAGACACTGGGTTCGTGCATTTGTGTCGGTTTGCGAGTGATTACTAATCATTCGTAAATGTCGACGCCTTTCACCAGTTGGGTCGCTTACTGTAATAAGTCAGAAATGGTCACTCCAGTCTCTTTTTGTCTTGGTGGGTCTCCTTTTTCTGCATTGAAAGGATTAACGCGGCAGGAAGACGATTCATGAGGCAGGCCAAAATCGGCGAGGTCAAAGCCAGTCAACAACGTGTGGTTGCTGCATCGGGAAGATGGACGCTGGCTGAATAAGTAGAATTGACAAGGACTTCGACCTAGAGCTCGAACGATCGTGAGACCAAATGGGCACCCGAATTCATGTAGACACGCCCTGTTGGGAGGGTTTTATGCCGTGTGCTCAGTTTTCGTCGTCTATTTAACAGCGGTCAGCGTAAGGCCTCTTTTAAATGGATAACGTAAAAGTTGTCCTAGTTTATGTGCTCTAGCCAAAAACTCTTGTGAGATTGCGAATCTAAGGCAGCTTGTTTGAGAGGCACACCACAGCATATGTTACCTGACTGCGACCGGCTAAATAGAATAAACTATAAAACTCGGGAGATGAGCTCTGACTTGAACCATAGTTCAGAAGCTAATAATAGCACACAAATGTATCTGGTTATCAAAAGCGCAAAAGAAAAACCACAGTGAAGAGGGATGGAAGGGGGTCAGCAAGGTAACGAAGGATAACGGTGAGGGAGAATGGCAAAGGGAAGAGATAAGAGACTGCTACTATCACCACAACCACCGTCACCACCAGTGCCGCCCCTGCTGCTGCTGCTGATGATGATGATGCTGCTGCTGCTGCTGCTGCTGATGATGATGATGATGATGATGATGATGATGATGATGATGATGATGATGATGATGATGATGATGATGATGATGATGATGGCGATGGCGATGGCGATGGCGATGGCGATGGCGATGGTGATGGCGATGACGGTGGTAGTAGTACCAGCAGTAGTAGTAGTAGTAGTAGTAGTAGTAGTAGTAGTAGTAGTAGTAGTAGGAGTAGCAGAAGTAGTAGTAGGCGTGGAGGAGAAGGAGGAGGAGGAGGAGGATTTGAAAGATTGGCGACGGACCAATAAGGACGAGTATTGCGGAAGTGTAAAAGAAACCAACCATAAGTGTGGGGAAGTCAGCCAGATCGAGGGATCGCAGGACGCGGAAGGGATGTCGCACAATATGTCCCAAGGTAGGGTTTGAGCAGCGTATCTCCAGTCTCAGGCTATAGGCGACACTGGCCACGGAGCCTCCAGCCAGACAGGTGGTAGGCAACTCGAAACTTGAGGGCAGATTGGCTGGCAGGCAGAAGCGGAAGTGAAGTGCAGTGAAACGCTCCTGGCAGGCATTTGTTGAGGGTGGAGAGGGCTCAACCGCACAATCGGCTCGGGTAGTCAGATCGAGGCGGAAACAGAAGAGTATCTGACTGGCACCCCGGCGCCGTCTCTTGCTCTTCCGTTGCCTTGCTGCATGTGCGGTCGAGACACTGAGCGAGTTAGTGCTGGAGGCGACACTGTTGAGCAATCGAGCGGATGCACCGCCATCAGCGCAGGAGGTCCAAGTGGCTACGAGTGGATGCACCGCGGCGCCGTTATTACCTTTGGTGGGCTTAAGGAGTGGGGGGATCCAGGCAAAATCATCCCCAGTCACGAGACTTCTTGTCTGCCGACCGGCTTCCCACCGGGTTTTTGCACGACCATAACACCACAGGAGGCATTCTAGGGGAGAGCCAAGTGAGAAGAAATAAGACTGTTGCCATCAAGTTGGAGCCCGATTTTCCGCTGACGTCAAGATAAAATCGTGCTCTCTCTCTCGCATCACCATCGACATAATGCAAGAACGCGAAATTATCGTCGCTGGTAACGTTATAAGCCACTTAAAGGACGACTTGTCATTTTCGTTATTGATGGTAAGCGTTGAAAACGAAGTTTTAATACGAGCGAGCAAGTTCTACAGTGCGTGACCTATCTCATGAAATGTTGGCTGAAATTCTGAAATGCGTTTTCCATTAGGAAGGATTACTTGGTCGCAGTTGTGACACTGATTATCTTGCGTCATACTCTTATAACATTTCGGACTCGGCAGGATGTCGGCTTTTAAATGCACTTCTTTTCAATCTCCTGTAGAAAGCATGCTCGGTAAAAAATGACTACTTAAGTAGCATGCATTTTTCCCATTGATTTTCGATGGTCTTGGAAATTCAAATATATTTCATAGAAACCAAAAACACAAATATGCTTTCTTTTAGTCAAACAATAGAGAATTACGTCTTCTTTATATTTTATACTTAAGGAAGGCGTATAATTAGGTTTTAAAAAAGTTTTCTTATTGCCGAAAAATTTGGAGTCTGATCATTCGTTGCATTAGCGCTTAGTGATTACACTCTACAAGGTGCATGCGTTCCGCGTAAAGAAAATCCCATATTTTTCTATGTCATTAAAGAGATATCATACAGGGTCCATAAAATTGTGCAGTCGATGCGGATCATGTTGTACATTTCATGAGGAGCAGTGGTAAACGGCCAGGTACGATCTATGTGAATGGACATATCGCGGTCTTAAAAAGTCTCCTAATTAGAAACTTTTCTAAAACCTAATTATACTCCTTCCGTGGAAGAAAAATGACCAGGAACCAGAGTCGCCCCTGGCCATCCAAAAAGACATTACCGCAAACTGCCTTCCCCACGAGAAGATCACCATCGGTTACTTGACAATTCAGTTTTCACTGCGTGGAAAATTTTACGAGGGTCTGTAAGCCCTGGTTGTGTCGGCACAGAAAGTGGTCACATACCACACCGCGTATTAGACGATCCGTGGTCGTTCTAGAAAGGTGCCGATCATCCAAACCTGAGCAGAACGCGGTTTGCTCACCAACAACACCACCACCATTCACCTTCCCGACCACCAAAATTCAGAACGCATGCATCCCCACCTACTTCACTAGAAACTTTTAGACCATGCACTTGTCAGGAGACAGAACCGCCAACTGTAACATGTGTGGTACTGATTAATGGATTGATTGACATCCAATTGTCTGATGACGAGACTACAAATTCGGCCACGTAGATGACCTCAGGGGACGACAGCAACAAAGAAGTTGAGAACTGCAGTATCAATCCTCGAATGCCATCATCAAAATGAATGCCAGTCCAAAGGAAAGCAGGCCTTGGACGATGAAGACATAGAACAGAAATGAAAGTTCTTGCAACTGTACAGTAGGTGGGCTAACTTATGAAATGTCAACCGAAATTCCGAAAGGCGTTTTCGCTTCGAAAAGATTAATTAAGTAGGGTTGTAAAACTGGTCAGCCTGCAGCATAATTATATAATATTTCAGTTACCTCAGGGTGCCAGCTTTCAAGTGAACTTCCTTCCGGCTGCATGCGAAAAACTACACTCTGTAAAATATGACTACTTAATTGGCATGCATTTTTTTCATTGATTTTCGATGTCCTCAAGTATTCAATTATATTTTCTGGAAAACATGCATAAAAATATTCATGCTTTTGCTCATTCGGCAGACAATTACGTCATCTTCTAATTATATACTCGAAGGAGAGACATAATCCGGTTTTAAGAAAGTTTTCCATTTCCCGAATCATTTTGAACCCGCTGTACCGTCACACTTGGATTCAGGGTTTCCAATCTACATAGCCGTATATTTTCCGCGTACGGAAAACCACGCATTCCTCTACGGTAATAAAGGAGGACCATATGGGGTTCGTAAAACTAAGCAGTGGATTTGCTTCATATTGTTAACTTTGCAAGCCCCGTTGGTAAATGCAGACATATGACGATTTATGAACGGCCATTTCACGCTATTTAAAAGGCTCACAATTAGAAACTTTTTTATAATCAACCTATGTCCCTCCTTCGAGTATAAAATTAGAAGACGTAATTATCTACCAAATGAGCAAAACGATGGATATTTTATGCATGTTTTCCATGAAATATAATTGGACTTTTTTGGGGCATCGAAAATCAATGAGAAAAATGCATGCTGATTATGTAGTCATTTTTTAAAGGGGGAAGTTTTTCGCATGCAGCCGGAAGGAAGTTCATTCAAAAGCTGGCACCCCGAGGTAACTGAAATATTATGGAATTATGTTGTAGGCTGACTAGTTTTACAACCCTACTTAATTAATCTTTTTGAATCGAAAACGTATTTCGGAATTTCGGTTGACATTTCATGAGTCAGACAATCTACTGTATACAGTCTATGCTAGGCTTAATTCGAGGACGATGAAGAAATCCAGGAATATGGGCAGCTTCACGAGACCTATGCGAAGAGCTGCACTGGTGAAAACGACGTCAGATATTCCCGATTAAGGCAGTTGAAGATTCAAGACCGCTGGTTGGTGTAATGGCTTACTTCCATGCAACTATCGAGGTAGTGTACAGTCCTCCAGTTCCTGCAACGCGCTTTTAATCAATTCAGACAGAGCCACCATGGTGCGTTGGGTCAAGTAATTCAGACGCGCCTTGCACATTCGCAATCTACTAGGAGGTCACCGACAAATTCATTGTTGGCCCTGACCATCCGCCAAGGCAACATAGCGGATGTCCGGCGGAAAAGCCCGATCATTGACTCAATTAAACTGCAAGTTTACAAATGCAGCAACCCCCAGCTTCTGGAACAAGCAATTCTGTTTTTTCCAAAAGATTTGGCGAGAAGAATAAACCGAACAGCGCCTAAATGATTCCATGACTGTTCGTATTCCGCTTCATGGTCTGACTGAGCGCGGAGCAACTAGCATTACAATCGCAGAAGAATGCTATGAGACAGGAATAAGCCGCCAAAGTAAATTGCCAGATAGCGCAAAGGCCTTCGACAGCATGACAACACGTGTCAAGGATAAAGAGGGCAAAACGGGGTTGCGCATGTTCCTTACCTCTCTTCAGTCTCATGTTCTCTACGGTGTTGATGAAGGGCTACTATGAGGAGTGATCCGAGTTCAGCATTCCTCACCAAGAAAACAAGGATCTACCAAACATCCATCGAATGAACGCCCTCACGAAAATGCAACAGGCTTTAATGCAGATCTACTGAAGCCCGAGTCCATGCATACCGCTCCTAATTACCAATTTCTTCGCTTTTCTGTTTATCATAACTCTAATTCGAGACTCGCCCCGCCTGTCAGAAGAACAGATGACCTTCATGTCAACGATAATTCAGTTCACGCCACTTCAAGCATTCATTCAAATATGAATGAAACTTATCAAGTCACCCACGCACTCCTCTTAATGTGATTTACCAGAGTTTTCCATCTACCATCCAAATAACGAGCTTGAATTAACGAGGACAGAACTCGTATATTCTGACGGACTAAGCAAACAAATCCTCAGATTTCAAAGCTCTCAAAGACACTATTCCGGAAAGCCAAGATAACATTGGTCCATCATTTAAGTTCTCAGATAGAACAAATAACAAACGAACTTGGTCAATTTTGAGGGAGGATTTCTTTCAGGTGGTGTTGCGATTGCTGCGCCGTTTCTCTCGACCTTCATCCAGCCATTGTATATCTGAAGACTTCAGTACGCTGTGCCTATCTACAGTAAGTGAGCGGTCTTAGAAATGTAGGCCAAAATTCTGATTAGGAAGGACTACGTAGGTGGGATTGTAATATTGATTATCATGCGACACAACCCTATAATATTTCGGACTCACTTTCAGATCTCACTCTTTACAAAATTAAGGGCATACCTCAACAGTTTATCGGAACACGACCAAAAGACAGAGAGTAAATGCTACATTTTTTACGTGGTTTTTATTTGATAAGGAGGATATCTGAGCCAATAAAACTACGAAGTACGAGTACCAAGAGCAAGAGTGTTTCGTTTTTCGTGTTACATGCAATAATTTTTCCTTCAAGGCCTGCAGCGTAAAGTGCATAGGTCTACATCACCCGTAGGTTAACGTACATCATTTGAAGGAGATAACTCAAACATGATTTCCAACGTTTTTTAGTGCGGTTGTTTTCAATGAGTTAAAGATAAGTAAAACTCATGCAGAAGGCGAAATGAAACTGGTTATGAGTAACTGCCAAAAAGGGTTTGACCAGATTACGCAAGGGTACATGGCTTATTCCCATCGAAAAGATGTAACGGAAATTAGAGTAATCCATAGTAAACAATTTATTTGGTTTCTTAGATAGTAGATAAGAACTGCCCATATTGCAGACAAACTCCTTTCTTTTTTTACGTCGTTAATTCATGTATTCGCAAATTCCTCTGGTCAGTTTAAGTAGTTTGGCCCATGTTATACGCCTTTAATCCTTACTTTATTTGATAACATTATGCTGGATAGCTGTCCATCATCTTTTCGCAAACTTAGTGTCTTTGCAAAACTTAAAAAGGAAACGTCCATTTATGCTTTGTCAACAACAGCCTCGTCTGGCCGTGCCTTGCCACCATAGCCAGATAAGGCTCTCTAGCGTGGCTAAGGCGTGGCATTTGACACGACAGCCCAGTCTAGGCACACTATCAAAAAATGCACAAGTAGGCCCTCTGTCCTTCGTTTGTTCCCCACCTTACGACTTCGATCTTGAAGTGGCGAGTGCACTTATTTTAAACTATTGGTTGTCATAGTACTCTCCCTGGGGTAAAACTGTTTTAATCAGCCCATTTAAGTGGACAACCAACGTAGTGTCTACGGTGTTGCGCGACATAGAAAAGTGAGCAGGTGATTGTGAGAAAAAAGACTATTTAGTGAGTAAATGCAAGTGAAGAAATCTGTAAGAAAAGTATGTACAAGCATGCAGTTTTCCTTCAAGAAACTTTAAAACGCTTCCGAAATTACGACTTAACCGACTTAGGAGGGATATGCAGGCCATCAGAAAAGGGAAATATACGACTAGGTTGATGAAAACGGTTTTAACAACTGATGACCAAAAATACTAAAGGTCCCACTTGGATCGCATACACCTCCAACAGAGTATGAGAACAGGAACTACGAAACGATGTAACTTTAATACGCACAAAAAATGCACGATCGTGCTTTTTAGCATTAAAGACCACGAAAAGGTGACCACAGGAAAAAGCGTCACTCCTAAAAACGCTGTATTGGCTACTATCTGGCTCTGCATAAACAGCTCATATCTGCGGGCATGTGGGGCTAGTGGTCTGATAAACTGCCTGCGCGAGTAAATGCTAGGCAGATTGTGCAGACTATAGTCTCTGTAGACATAATACGCCCAGCAATCCCCGCGCGTAACTGGCGTCCGTGGCGCCAAAGATCTTAACGACGTATGCAGACCATGCTCAATCAACCAGTCAGATCACTGGCCAAATGTAAGTCCCCAAATCTGACCTGTGAGTGCAAGACTACTTATGTCATAGGAGGGACACGAAAACCACGTTTCGACATCAGGAGAAAAATCCTCACTTCACGCAAATGTGTGAGTCAATTTTTGCGGACGTCCCTATGCAACAGAATGACACGATAAACAGTATGCAGGTCACTTACTATCGATAGTGACACGCTGGTCAGCGCCCAGAAACACATGCCCCGTGATTACATCATTGGGTAAGAACACACCACAAACATTATCCAAGTGGATTTCGCATTTATATAGAGTGGGAGCATTGTTTCCCATCGCTCAGTGTTTTGAGCAATAAGTTATAATACATGACCGACGACACTTTTAAAAACTTGTATTAAATGAAGACTATTAATTTAGTCCGCTAAAACAAATGTGATTCTCAAGGCCATCTATCTCAGCAGTTTTACAAACTCAAAAGTTTCTTAAAAATCCTAATGAGCTTCGGCAGACGTTTGATTGTTAAATGCTATGAGGCTCACTGGAAAGAATCTACGTCTGCATGGAACTAAAGATGCAAACGTCGGTGCTTGTCAGCGACAAAATGCTTCGGGATGTCTCCAAACTTCCAACGTGTGCCATGAAGTATTTCGAGGATCCATCAGGCCAACAACACTATCTAACGCTTCCGACAGAATTAAAATACTCCTAGACCTCGAGTCAATCACTGGAGGACTGTGAGGACACTTCAGTTTAATTGGTTAGTGGAGTAGTAGTCTGCAGAAGTTTGCGACGGGAAGCTGACATAAAGGACCGCAGCAGAAAAGCAGATTCCGATTAAAGCGCAGTCAAAATGGGCAGAAAAACCGGAAGATGCGGTTAACGAGCCGAACTGAAAACCCTGAAATGATCACCGCAGCAGGAAATTAAGAATATTACCATCCCATTCGAAATGGTCACAGAATTTGTGCTTGACGAAAGTTTCGGCGCGAAGTAACTAAGATCCGCTTAAGAAACCAATAGGGTTAGCTATTTACTTCGCTTTTTTAGATATTCAAGAGACTATATTATGATTTAGCTGCGTACAATTTACGCTGGGTTTCACGCTGCCGTGGGGGCATATCAGAAAATGCTGCTCACTTTGACGAAGTTCCTAAAATAAAATCCCAGATACATATATTTGCCAGGCCATTCAATGCGTTCTTCACATAGGGTTTACCGCGCACGTGCCAACTCTGCTATACTTTCGACGAACTATCCATTAGTCACTAGATTCGCAACATCTGTTCAAGTGCAATAAAATAAATGACAATAAGCACGTTTTTGCCATAAACCCTCGTGCACTCTCGAACGTCAGTGCTGCCGTCCATACAACTTAAAGTCTCATTGCCAGAAGAATTGTTCATTATAAGATTTTTTGGAAAACGTAAAAACAATTCCATTTGCCTTACAGAATTAGCATTGTAGGAAGTGTCGATGAATGTTACTTTCGCTTTACTAAATAAGAACTTCAATAAGCATGGCTAAAACAGCATAAATAATAATTTTTCATTAAAGCCCCATCGGAATCCCATCAAAGGAAGTAAAACTAAATAAACATGCGAATTTTAGACGAGGTAGGCAGAATCTGTACGAAATATTATTCATAGTTTCTAAATTAGTAGTCCGTTGAGAGGTGAAAAAAAAACTCCACTGAAAAATCTACAAATGATTGGTTTAACTTTACAGGAGAAAAAACCTCGATAAAAATAGTAACAGAAACATGCGGACAGGACTGGCCTGTATTTGGCGGTATAATCACGGATTATAATCGGACATCGTCAGGGCGGAAATAAATGTCAGCCTTGATTATAATCGGACATCGTCAGGGCAGAAATAACTGTCAGCCTTGAGGGGTACGTATACGGGTCGGACAGGACTGACCTGCATGTGGTATTGTATACAGGATTCAGAACTGACATCGTCACGGCAGGATTGCTACGCCGAATGAGACTACTCGCGTCAAAGAGGCCAGACGAGAGGAACCGAGATGCGATCGGCCACAGCACGCTTCGAGCTCAGCCGAGCAGTGGGGAAGGGAGGTACGACCAAACTACTAGTAGACGGCGAATACTGAGGGTTCCACCGTGAGCGTCGACAGACCTCATGAGGTCGGAATGCGGGAGATGACATCAAAAACCGCGAAAATTGTCGCTATGGGGGAGGAGTGATAGCAGTGGATTTAGAAACCAATTCAAAACACGGGTTTCTAATGATATAATTAAGAGTTACCACTTAATCTACCACTAAATCCCAGGAGGACACTTCTCGAAGTCAAGAATCTGAGTGTTCGGGAATGAGACCGTTAACAGTGCTTTTATGCTTTCCGGTGTAAGGTGTTTGCGTAATTTCGACTTGAATACCAGTAACTTAGGCGATAATCTAATTTCAGGCGAAAGATTATTCCAAAGGAAGGCATATTTGGAAGCAAAGAAGAGGGAGCGCTTAGATGTAGTACAAAGAGGCGGCGGAATCACCATGCAGGAGTTGCGCGTGGCATAAGACCGATCTCTCGGAGTGAGAGTGTCAATGAGCGGAAGACTGAAGCTAGAGTTGATGCGAAAAAGGAAGCAAAGGCCAGCTTCGAGTCTTCTAACCCATAAAAACCTA